AACTTCGTGGGAGTGTCCGGTGGAATCTTTCTTGGAAGGGGCATGCTGCTTCTTAAACCAAATGGGGAAATAGGTCAGGAACCTTCATTGCCCAGCGCAGATGTCGGGGGAAATGCCGCGAAACAGAAGCGGCCGCTTCCAAAATGGCAACTCCGTGGAAAAGTGTTTCTTGCAAACGCCTTCAAGCAGTGTCTGCGCAAATCAGTGATCCGGATCCTGTTTGAAAAATGAGAAGCGTGCACGACCTGGGTGACAATGTGTGTGTGTGCCACTTCCGAGGATCATCAAAATGGAGTTTCTGTTTTGACACTCACCGCAGCTCCTTGGGTGGAGACTTTCATGAGGATGCTTGAACACCAGCCCTTTTAGAAGGTGTCACAAGCGATGCAAGAAATAGCCACGAGGCATTAGACTTCCGCAAAACTTCAGAATACCTTTCTGCTGCATAAGGGGGGCGTGTTCATGTAGGTGTGTCGCAAAATACGGGTGTTTAAAAGTATCTGGAGCTGTGTGATCTTGCCTCACCCAATTGCGAAACCTCCAATCTGATGACCCCTTGTGGCTTGCTTTGAGAGCCTTCAAATGATCCACGCATGTTGTGCATCCCGTTGGCAGTACCCCTATCGACTGTGAAACCAAATTACCAGTTTGGCAAACAAAAAGACAGGGGAGACGATATGGGCCATGAAGGATACAAGGCATTTCCAAGCCCCGAGGCGCGCGCCAACCCAGCGCGAGCCAGCCCCACACCTGAGTGAAACGCTCCATGCCAAATTGAGGCGTTTCACTTGTAGCTTCCTTTTGCCTTTCGGGGGGAAAACTCGCCATAGGGGGAGGCGGTGTTTCAAGAGGGTATCCCTGACGCGTGTGCATGGCTCTGAGGGAAAGCCCCGGAGCTTCGAGTAAGTCAAGCCTGTGTTGGGCTCTTCGCAGGGACCCCAACCTGCAGATCAACCCAGTCCGCAAAGACATCTGCTAGGAGTTGGCCTATCAAAAAATGCAATTTTCTTGGAGGAAAACTACCAGGAAGCAAATGGTTGCTTGAGTCAAACTCCCATTTTGGATCTGTGAGAGATGGTGCTCTTTGCTCCTATTTGTTGATGTAGCCCGAATGAATCAGCTAAAGCTGTCAAGCCACATATACCTCAGTCGGGACCCCTTCGATTCAAGGTGGGTGGTGTGTTTTTGGATTCCAGAAACACCCAAATCAGAAATCACGCAACAACTGACAATGTCAGCCGGGTGGAACCGGGTCCCAAGTCTTCAAACATACCCAGACTCTGGACGGGTTCAAGGGCAGCCACCTGATCGAAAACCAACTGTGACGAAAAACGCACCCAATGCTCCCCCTATTTCTTGGAAGGTAGGGACCAGTTCCTTATATTTCCTCTTGAAATATCCCCGCAAAGAAGCTCATGTCCAATGCCTCAAAGCCTAAGGTCTTGCAGCCAAATCTGAATCCGAAAAGGGACCAGCGTAGAACCAAGCCATCGGAAACATAGAAAAAAGCTATCCAAGCCGTGACAAAAAGTACCCAAAAAAAAAAGAGGCCATAGAACTTGCTCGGCACTGCTTTGAGCCATCCCAAGCCATCCAAAACCATCCGACTGCGACTCTTTGTGATCCTCGCCCGCCTGCAGCCCTCATCTTCGCACGCGGGACTCCATCACACGGTGAGGCTGTGTGTGTGTGTGTGTGTGTGTGTGTGTGTGTGTGTGTGTGTGTGTGTGTGTGTGTGTGTGTGTGTGTGTGTGTGTGTGTGTGTGTGTGTGTGTGTGTGTGTGTGTGTGTGTGTGTGTGTGTGTGTGTGTGTGTGTGTGTGTGTGTGTGTGTGTGTGTGTGTGTGTGTGTGTGTGTGTGTGTGTGTGTGTGTGTGTGTGTGTGTGTGTGTGTGTGTGTGTGTGTGTGTGTGTGTGTGTGTGTGTGTGTGTGTGTGTGTGTGTGTGTGTGTGTGTGTGTGTGTGTGTGTGTGTGTGTGTGTGTGTGTGTGTGTGTGTGTGTGTGTGTGTGTGTGTGTGTGTGTGTGTGTGTGTGTGTGTGTGTGTGTGTGTGTGTGTGTGTGTGTGTGTGTGTGTGTGTGTGTGTGTGTGTGTGTGTGTGTGTGTGTGTGTGTGTGTGTGTGTGTGTGTGTGTGTGTGTGTGTGTGTGTGTGTGTGTGTGTGTGTGTGTGTGTGTGTGTGTGTGTGTGTGTGTGTGTGTGTGTGTGTGTGTGTGTGTGTGTGTGTGTGTGTGTGTGTGTGTGTGTGTGTGTGTGTGTGTGTGTGTGTGTGTGTGTGTGTGTGTGTGTGTGTGTGTGTGTGTGTGTGTGTGTGTGTGTGTGTGTGTGTGTGTGTGTGTGTGTGTGTGTGTGTGTGTGTGTGTGTGTGTGTGTGTGTGTGTGTGTGTGTGTGTGTGTGTGTGTGTGTGTGTGTGTGTGTGTGTGTGTGTGTGTGTGTGTGTGTGTGTGTGTGTGTGTGTGTGTGTGTGTGTGTGTGTGTGTGTGTGTGTGTGTGTGTGTGTGTGTGTGTGTGTGTGTGTGTGTGTGTGTGTGTGTGTGTGTGTGTGTGTGTGTGTGTGTGTGTGTGTGTGTGTGTGTGTGTGTGTGTGTGTGTGTGTGTGTGTGTGTGTGTGTGTGTGTGTGTGTGTGTGTGTGTGTGTGTGTGTGTGTGTGTGTGTGTGTGTGTGTGTGTGTGTGTGTGTGTGTGTGTGTGTGTGTGTGTCTGTGTCTGTGTCTGTGTCTGTGTCTGTGTCTGTGTCTGTGTCTGTGTCTGTGTGTGTGTGTGTGCGTATGCGTGTATGTCTGTGTGTGTGTGTGTCTTACGGGTACCGTACCCTTTTGAGATTGGCTTAAAGGAACACCAACTGTGTTTCTCTTCAATTTCTGTTTTGGTTTTTGGGGGGAGAAGAATCTCCCTATGAGGGAAACCAAAAGGAAAACCGAAATCCTTTTAGGGGTCCAAAATCCTATTTTGATGCTTAATCTTCAAGGACGCACCGTCCGCGTTTTGCCGCAAATGCATTGCAGCTTCTGCCTGAAGTTTTGCAGCTCATCTTGTTTCGGGGCTCTCATGCAGCAAACATTTCCGCTTGCAACATCACCTCTACCAAAGGAGACTCACCTTGCAGGGCCCGAAAAGGTAAATGGAGCTGAAGCCCTGACATGCCCTTGGTTCAGGCTAGCTCTCAGGAAGGTAGCGCCGGCGCCGGCGCGAAGCATCTTGGCGACTAAGCTACCCAAAACGTTTGGGAGCTCCCAGGATCGAAGGGCCAGCCTCCGATGACGAAAGCCGGGATCCCACCAGCCATTTCAGGTACACAAGTTCTGCCTGTGTTGCCACCGAAAAATCTACACCTCGCACCACCAAGCACCTGAATTATAGGCCAAGCTCATCTGCTTCCTAGCCCACGTATTAAACATATGTCTTACAACAAACGAACAAATCTTGCGTTGGGGGGTCCAAACACCAAGTGAGCCGGAAGCTTTTGGAGAGTGAATACAGGGCTTGCTTGCCAGGTGCCTGTCCCAAAACGTTAGGTAGGTTGGGGCAAATCTGAAATTATCTTCTTCCTGAAACCAAAACTTGCTTGTGCTCAGTATGGAATGACCCATTGTGCTGGGAATGAGGGATTCCCTTGCAGGAAACCATGGGAGATGGTTTATAGGGATCATTCCCTCATGCCCTGCCTATCAAACCAGTAAGGAAAGGTTGGTTGTCAACACCTGTTCAAAAAACAATGAAAGAAACGAATGGTTTCAAGTAAACATGCGTAAACCAATTACTGGAAAATTGAAGGATCACAGAGAGTTGTCTAGCAATGTGTTGGTTTACACATGCTCCAAAAAGTGGGCCCAACCCTTATGTCATGTCCAAACGCACAAAAACTCAGGCAGACGATATCCCTGCAAAACAGAAACCACGAACAGGTCTCAAGCCAGATCAACCAACCAGCCAGCCAGCCAGCCAACCAACCCAGCCTGCCAGAGTTAGCCCTGTCAAGGGCTAGGCAAAAAAAATACGTTCCTTGCTCCGGGAACACAAACAAAAAGCTTGAAGCATCCTCTAAAGTGCTCGGCCCAATGCAATAAGTTGTTTTGATGTTTCACAACGGTTCAAACGGAAAGCAAGCCCCGAACCAAATTTGGGAGAAGCCCACAAATAGGTCAGAATCAAACCCAGTAGTTTAAGTAGGCACCCATTTATGGCAAGGGGATTATCCCATAATTACTAACCTTCATCTAGCCGAATCGGTTCTGGCTCAAACGCTTAACTTCAAATGGTCAAGCTCCTCCCGCCCTTGAGCCTTTTTTGCCGCTTGCCAATGCAAGCTGCGGGGTCTTAAGTAAGCGGAGCGGCATCCCCGAAACCGTCGCGGAGCGCGTGCAGTGCGCAAGGAGGCCATGCGCCGCGACTCGCAACGTGGGTTCCATGTCCAACATCTCCCGCAAAAGGCGAGGCAAAAGGCGTTCCAAAGTCGACCAGAGCAGAAGTTGGGTATTTCTGTACAAGGCCAACCGTTTTTGGGGGCGGCCCCATGGCGAGCCACCCCTTGGAACGCTCCAACTGAGTATAATCTTTGGAGCCACTGGTGGGCCGGTAAGTTCATGCGTGTATTCCTCTAAGCGAGGGAGAAAGACGAAAAAAGGGACAGCAATGCTCTCAAAAGGTGGTGGCGTGTGGCCGCTTGGGCCAAGCAAGACGCTCTCAGCCGGGATTCCCCGCCCACGCGCCGTGAGATATCTACAAGTGTACAAGAGGCAGTTGCCGTCCACAAAAACCAGCCGTGACATGATGCGGGAAATCCATCAAACGCATCTCTGTGTGTGATCTCCGGACCCGCGATCCTTTTTTTGCAGCCCTTGCAGGGTGGGGCCAACGTCTTGAAATCTGCAAGGTGACCAAGGGACGAACCACATAGTGCAAGGGAACAAGGGAAACCCTGCAAATGCCCCTGGTTTGGTGGGTGGTTTACTGAAAACCCCGTCAAAATCCCATAGTTTGTGGGCGGTTTGCTTGCAAGATGTCAGCCGTCCGGACGAGATGGGTTTGAATTCAAGAGCTCTTGGCCTCGCCTTTCCGTCCTCGAGGCTCTAGGCCCTGGCAGTTTCAGGGAGCGGGGCAACAGGGACTCGGCTTCAACGGCAGGGAAGCCCCCCCCCCGACCAGCCGGAAAAAAAAATGTAGCAACGGTGGCCACCGGATGAAACTCTGAACATGTCACCCCTTGATCTCAGATCAAGAGAGAAAAAGAAAAAACATGGGGCACTGTCTCATCAAGGGGGCTTTGTCGGTGACCTAAGAACCCGCCAACAAGGCCAAACAAGTTCCAAGGACCGCTCCATTTGCACGGTTGGTTGCAACTTCTTGAAAACAAGGATGCCGGAAAGGATGGCTGGCAAGCGCTTTGGGTAGCTTGCCCAGCCTGCACAGCATCATGGTCACCTCGTCTGCGCCACGGGGGCTGCCAGCATCGGGCCAGGTTACACTATGAAACTCTGGGAGGACCGGCTTGAATGGCCTTGGGCACAGCATCATGGTCACCTCGCCTGCGCCACGGGGGCTGCCAGCGTCTGGCCAGGTTACACTATGAAACTCTGGGAGGACCAGCTTGGATGGCCTTGGGCACAGCATCATGGTCACCTCGTCTGCGCCACGGGGGCTGCCAGCGTCGGGCCAGGTTACACTATGAAACTCTGGGAGGACCGGTTTGGATGGCCTTGGGCACAGCATCATGGTCACCTCGTCTGCGCCACGGGGGCTGCCAGCATCGGGCCAAGTCACACTATGAAGCTCCGCGGGAACCGGCTTGGATGGCCTCGGGCACAGCATCATGGTCACCTCGTCTGCGCCGCGGGGGCTGCCGGCGTCGGGCCAGGACACCGTTCTTGGGGATCGCACTTGGCCTTGGATGCTGCAAAAGGCAAAAGAGGCAGCGCTGTCGGAACACACGCGCGTTCGGATGGCCCGGAGGAGAGTGCGCCCACCTACCCACCTGCCCGCTGCCTGCCCGCTGCCCTGCCCTCCTGTCTGTCTGCCAGTCTGCCTGCCTGCCGCCTCGTGGCTCCGCACACATGGCAAATGCCGTAAAGATCAATGCAGTTGCCGGCACTTAAATATTTAGAGCAACTGCTTCAATTCACAAACTGGATATACGAATCCCCCACTAAACAACTGAGCGACGGGGCACGGAATCGCTCGTTTTGTCCCCAAACCGCCATATTTTTTTGTTTGATCGACTTTGAACAAAACTCCCACTACCCCGCTGCAGATGAACCTGGAAACTGGAACGGTTTGATTTCCCCTTTGCCATGCTTTTTACTTACGGGCTCATGGACTCCAAGAAAATGTGCCTGAAAACGATGCCCAGCCCAGGGCAAAGACTTTGCGTGGTTCAGGGTGCCGGGTGCTGGGGGCCAGGCCCGCGGACAGCAAGCGCGGGCGCCGCGAATTGCGCTTCTCCGCCTGAAACTCTGGGCCCAAGTGGGGCCAGTGGTAAGGCTTGGGGCTCTTTAGGATTGTTTCTCCATGGCAAGCCACGTTTTTGTTGCAAACATCGGAATTTGACCAATTTTGGCTAGGCACTCCTCCAGCATCGCCTGTGACAAAATAACCACCTCTCGCTGCTCCAGTCGACCTACCTTCCTGACTTTGGATCTGTGCAAACCTCCGTGCGCCCTCCCTCTCTTTCTCTCTTTCTCTCTTTCTCTCTTTCTCTCTTTCTCTCTTTCTCTCTTTCTCTCTTTCTCTCTTTCTCTCTTTCTCTCTTGCTCTCTTTCACTCTTTCTCTCTTTCTCTCTTTCTCTCTTTCTCTCTTTCTCTCTTTCTCTCTTGCTCTCTTTCACTCTTTCTCTCTTTCTCTCTCTCTCTCTCTCTCTCCATGCCTATGCAGAGACCTCTCTCTCTATGCAGAGACAACGACGAGATCTTACCCTCGAGAACCCTTCACATGGTTGTGCATTGCGTTTTGTGATACCCTTTTTCCGTCAGATCACTCCAACACTCTAAAGGGATTGCCTTGGTATCACGAAAAGCTGGCACCCTACCTCACTTCTTACATCTATGAGGAGGGCCCAAAACAGAAAAGCACCTGCCAGGAATACTGTTATTGGCAACTTGTGACAGATCTACAGATAATTAAAATGGCCCCATAACACACAAGCCATGTTGATTCCGTGTTGGGGAATAGAAACCCGGCCAAACCGAGGAAACAAAAACAACCCAAAAAGGCGGGAACAAGACCAACACCCGCAGGAAACCCACCACCCACCCTCCAACAAAAAAAACGGCCAAGAGGTAGCAAATCCAGCACGATTCGCTTCGCTTCGATCCCAAAGCCGCCTCGAAAAAGTTGAAGCTGCGCGAAAGCCTCGGATGCGCAAGATGGGAGTCCATCGTCCTTCCGAACCCCGGCCCCAATCCAAAGAAACCCGCCCGAACGCGAGAGTGCTACAAGGCCAATATAGCCAATACATGGGTCCCTGCTTTCAAAAATCCTAGTGGGTGTCGGGTGCAAGAATCATGCTTGAAAAAATAAACCAATGTCTGTTCAACTGACTTCCAGTTTATTTCCCTGTAAAGCGGCCAGAGAGCGCAATTCAACCAACTGTGCTAAGGTCCGGAAAGATGAAACGTTGTAGAAGTCCTGGGGCGCATAACAATGTGTGTTGAAAACCGAGGTTAGGAAAAAGTCCATCTCAGTTTATGTTCCTTCTAGGAAACAAATGAACATGATTGGCTATTTGGCAACCAGACTACACAAAGGAGAGGCCCCAGAGGGGCACTGTTTGGTCTTCCATCCGTTTCTTGCACCCAAGTCCCACCCCTTCCAAAGTGGACAGGCGACACTCGTCGCATTGAAACTCCCCATTACTGGGGCGGGAATTTTGGCGCTCTAGGCTCCATCCTTCACTCGGAGATGGATTTCACAAGCTTCCTGCCGGTTTCTCCCGGGAATCCGCTCTCCGGATTCCAATCCGGGTGGTCGCTCTCTCATGGGGTTCCTGCGAGTTCCGAAGTTGACATTGAAAAAAAGAAAAAAAGTGACAACGTGGCATCCTCTCAGCCCGCTGTCCATTTGAGTCAGGAGTCGCAAAAGTGTCAACATCTTTAACAGTCACGGCAATTCCCAAAAAATGCCATGAAGAACTGGAAAAGATGCCCCCTCCCGACAATTCCATGGCTGACCAAGTACTCCTTCAAAGAGGACAGGGGGGTTTGGACCTTTGGATCCGATAAGTGGCCAAACTTGGCCCCCCGGCGTGTTGGCAATGGATGGCGACACCGACATGAGCACCCGAGCTTGCGCGATGCGGGGGAGGAACAGAGGACGCAGCTCGGCCCGATTTCACGGCTGACGCGCAAATGCGCCCGCTTGTTCAAACATAAATGCAGGTTCCTGGAAGACCTCAGAGAAACTGGCCTCATTGTACCATCAAAGTCATTTGCTAAGTGGTCGGTGAAAGCGGAAACAACCAACCAGTTCCTGGCTTTGATTACCCCCACAGCGCGTCAAAGTAATGACCCCAGACAAAACCCACCGTTGTCCTTTCGGCGCTTCTGAACACCATGCACCCACCATGCACCCCTTGCAGCACTGTTCTGGTTGCTTCTCGTGTCGTCAAGGCATGGCCTAAGCTTCTAGTGTCAGGCTTGTTGGAACTCACTGGTTGACTCATTGAGTTTTTCTCCGTTGCACCTGTGCCCCTGCTGGTTGCTGCTCCCTATCTTTTGTCCCAGTGGCTCTCTCTCTTGGTCGGTAGTGTCCTAGCATGTCCCGTGCCCAGTTCATGTCCTTGTCTCTCAGTTTCCTGCTCCAATTGCTGTTCCGGTCCGTCACCCGGGTGCTTGCCCGGTCGCTGGTTCTCCGGTGTCTCCCTGGTGTTTCAGTGCCCGCTGTCCCATCCCCGCTGTGCGTGGTCGGTGTCCTGGCAGCGGTGCTCCAGTTGGAGCCCCAATGTTCTTGCAAACCTCCAAAGTTGCTTGGTGATCCAGGAGACTTCCAAACATCCGGTAAGCTCTTGCTATTGCTCTGGGGTCTGCTACGCAGGGGTTCGAGGGCTGGGGGGGGGGCTTGCTATCTCTAGGTGTGTGACTTCCGATGCCCGGCTGTTGCTTCGTGGTTTGAGGTTTTCAAACAAATCTCAAAACAGCCAACACCGACAGATCGAATCAGCATGGCCGGATGCGATGAAGAATGGCCTGACGCCTCCACAAATGGCACTCCCTCACCATTTCGACAGCTTTTGCGCCCCGCAAGCATCCCACAAGGAACTCCGAGTGCTCAATGGACCCCTTGCTGTCAGAGTCGAACACTTGGAACAGCCCGACAGCATCTCCAATGTCCAAGTGAAGCGATACCAGAAACGCATGCATTCGCGGATCGTTTAAGGCCACCTGAAACTCCACCCAGGAGATGGCCCCATTGCCGTTCTGATCGATTTCCTGGAAGACGTGGTTCATCTGTGTAAGGAGCTCCTCATGTCTCGATTTCTGACTGAATGAGGTTTCCGGTTTCTTTCTCGAAAAACCACGGCTCTTTGGATCTAAGCGGAAGGTCCCAACTGTCCCGATGTCAGTTGGGGACCTCGATCTCGCAAACCAAACACTCGTCATTTCCACGCGAGACAAGGGTGTCCGCAAGGTCTAGCCAAATCTGCTAGATGGAAGGCTGGAAAGGCTGGTGTATCAAGCGCACAGTTTGACGGATGTCAGGATGGCATATATGTTTGGATTGGGCTTTCTTCGCTGGGGATGTCCAAGTCCTTGCCACTCAAGAAAGAAACATTGTATCGTCATGGTCTCAGAGCTGCTGAAACATGTTGAGCAAGGTGATGTGCAAGACAGAGCCCACGAACCCGAATGCACATCACTTTGCCCCATATTTTTTAGAGAGAACATTTTTCGGTATAAGCCAATGGGGCTCGCAATCAAGCCTACTTTGCGAACTATGTTTTTCAGCTTGTAAACTGTACTTTGCGTTCTCCACGTGTTGCTACAAAGCTACGATTTTCAATCTGGAGCTAAACACCTGCGCTTCGCGCGCTAGACCTGTACTACAAAGTTGCGATTTGCCAGGCGGAGCTGGTACTTCGCGCACTAGACTTGCGCTACACAGCTGCAATTGTCCAGCTAGAGCTGAAAACCCGCACTTTGCGTACTATACTTGCACTTCAAAGTTGCGATTTTCGAGCTAGAGCTGGAAACTTGTACTTCACGTACTACACTTGCACTACAAAGTTGACTTTCCAGCTAGTGCTGGAAACCTGTACTTCGCGCACTAGACTTGCGCTACAAAGTTGTGATTTTCCAGCGCGTACTAAACTTCTGAGCGACACGTCTGAGCACAACTTCTGATTGACACTTCTGAGCGACACTTCTGAGCGACACCTGATCAACCTGATCAACACTTCTGAACCACACTTTTTCTGATCGACACTTCTGAGCAACACTTCTCAGCGACACTTTTTCTGATCGACTTTTCTGAGCAACACTTCTGATTGACACTTCTGAGCGACACTTTTGAGCGACACCTGATCAACACTTCTGAACCACACTTTTTCTGATTGACACTTCTGATCGACACTTCTGACACTTTTGAAGAACCCTTCTCATCGACGGTTCTGAGCAACAACTTCTGACGAACACTTCTGATCCACACTGCTCATCGACACTGCTGAACCACACTTCTGAGCAACACTGCTGAACTGACACTTCTGAGCGACACTTCTGAGCAACACTTCTGATCGACACTTCTGAGTGAGCAACACTTCTGACTCACACTTCTGATTGACACTTCTGAGCGACACTTTTGAGCGACACCTGATCAACCTGATCAACACTTCTGAACCACACTTTTTCTGATCAACACTTCTGAGCAACACTTCTGAGCGACACTTTTTCTGATCGACTTTTCTGAGTAACACTTCTGATTGATCGACACTTCTGATCGACACTCTGAGCAACACTTATTTTGATCCGCACTTTTTCTGATTGACACTTCTGATCGACAGTTTGAGCAACACTGCTGAACCACACTTCCGATTGACACTGATGAGCAACACTTCTGATCCACACTCCTCATCGACAGTTCTGAGCAACACTTCTGAGCAACACGTCTGATCCACACTTCTGATCTGATCAACAGTTCCAGTTCTGAGCAACACTTCTGATCCACACTTCTGACAACATTTTTGAAAGACACGTCTGATTGACATCGGCCGATCTGGACATGCCAGAGGCCGACACCATCTTGGCCCCGGAAGTGATTGAGGGTTTTTTTTGCGCCCAACGCCTTACGGACCAGTTGGTCATCGGTCATTGTTGACAGCGAAGCCGAGTCGGCATTAAAAAAGGTGAACCCGTGACCTACCCGACGTGATCGAGACTTCCGAGCAACACTTCTGTCGACACTTCCGACCGATACTTCTGAGCGACACTGTTGATCGACACTTCCGAACGACACTTCTAATCGACACTTCTGAACGACGCTTCTAATGGACACTTGTGATCGGCACTTCTGAACAACACTTCTGTCTCCAAATGCGCACCGCGCCACAGCGAGAGCGATTCGACCCACCCAAAGTGCGCAGAGGGTTCACTTTGCGCGCTCAAAATGTGCACCGCGCCACAGAGGGTTCACTTCGCATGCTCAAAATGCGCACCGCGCCACAGCGAGAGCGATTTGACCTGCGCAGAGGGTTCGCTTCGCATGCTCAAAATGCGCACCGCGCCACAGCGAGAGCGATCTCGCTGAGTCAAAGTGACGCGCTTGCCACGAAATCTACACCCAGGCGCACTCAAAATGCGCACCGCACCACAGCGAGAGCGATTCGACCTATCCGAAGCGCGCAGAGGGTTCGCTTCGCGTTCTCAAAACGTGCACTGCGCCACAGCGAGAGCGATCTCACTGAGTCAAAGTGACGTGCCTGCCACGAAATCTACACCCAGGCACCAAAGTACTGCGCCTGCCACGAAATTTGCACGAAAAGCTCCAAAGTGCCGCGCCTGCCACGAGATTCAACCAAAACGCTCGAAACTGCTGCGCTTGTCACGCAAAGTAAGCTTGCCACAAACTCAAAATCATCCAAAATGCTGGACCTGCCACGAACTCCAACTTTGACACGTTTACGACCAAAACGAGCCGATTGTACGACAGGGCCAACGAAAACGGCGCCGGCGCAAACAATCAAGCAGGACACCTCAAAGCGGCCACCCATGGATCACAAATCCCGCTGGCACGGCAACGAGAACACGCAGCCTTCCAAAACACCGCGCCTGCGCAGCGAAACGACACGTCGAGCTTGAGAAGCTACGATTCGCGCACAGGGCCAATGAAAACAGCACTTGCCGATCCATCAAAAACACGCTTCCACGACGAATCCCAAATGGCACACGCTTATCGCCTCACCGCGAACGGTTGCGGACGGTTGCGGACGGTTGCGGACGGTTGCGGACGGTTGCGGACGTTTGCGAACTCTGGAGCAACTCCTCGCGAACACACTGTCTCCACCCCCAGACCCCCACTTATCAACGGGAACCCTTCGCCAAGCATTCGGAGAAAAAAAATAAACATCCCAAAAAACCGCGCTTGAAGAAGCCGTGACGAAAGCTCCGCTCCTGGCAGACGAACTGCAGCGCCGAGCCGTCCTGTGTCACCGCGGCTTGCACCACCTCGCGGTCTCCTCGCAGCTCCTCCGGCGAGAAAGAAGCCGGCGGCTGGAGCCCAGGAGCCCCGTCCCTCAAAAAGGCTGGCTCGGGAGCCAAATCGGTTCTTTGGTAAGGGTTCAAATCCCCAACCCAACCAGGGAGTACCGGAAAGAACAGGCCCGAGCAGAGCGCTGAAAAACCTCTCAGAACCACCCCGTGCTGAAATGAGATTCCGATGGTCAGCTGCAAGTGCTTCATGGTTCAAGAAGAAGCTTCTCACAAGCAAATCCCAGCATAAAAGCTCATCAGCCGGAATTCCTCCATGTTGCCCAGCCGACTAGCAACGTGTCAAACTCGCAAGCACCAGCCTGAAGTAATAACATCACTTTGCTTCTACACCCATGTCAGTTGGAGCCTCAATGTCGCAATCCAACCACTCATCACTTCCACACGAAACAAGGGTGTCCTGAAGGTCTAGCCGAAACTTCTAGATTAAAGGCGTCCAAGTCCTTGCCACCAAAGAAAGAAAGGTCATCATGTCAGGACAAAGAACAGATCTGCTCCCCTCAAAACTCTAAGAAACAAATCCAAACCAAAAAAGCTCTTGAACTACTGTCTGAGGTCTCTGAGGGGAGATTGCAATTCGGGACTGCCCCCCCACAGCTCCTGGGAGGCATACCGCAGCGCATCGCCACGTTGCACCACCGCCCCCAGAACCACCTCGCGATTTGCGCGCAGCTCCTGAATGCGGGTCAGCTCACGGCGCGCGCGGCAAGCGGGGCGGGGCTGGGGGCGGGGCCAGCAAGGATTTAAACTTGAAGCGCAGCTCTGGAAAAACACTAGCGCAAACGCAAAGCAAAGGCTTAGGCTCTGCTGCTTGTTTTGAATGGCTCTGCGAAATTCAGCACCGTCCTTGGTCCTGAGCTTGAAAATGAGACTCCCATCTGCTGGGAATTCCTACATGCGACTGGCTTATCTGCATGTTGTCCAACCGACTAGATAGCAATAAGTCAAACTCACAAGCACAGCCTCGAGGAATAACATCACGTGAAAAAGAGGCTCCGAGCTGCATCTCGTCACTTTCACGCGAAATAAGGGTGACCGGAACTGGAAAGGCTGTCGCGCCTTCAAGCGCACGGGATGTCCAAGTCCTTGCCACCAAAGAAAGAAAAGTCATCACGTCACGACACAGCACAGATCTGCTGCAACATTTACAAACAAACACACCTCAACACTCTAACAAAGAAATCCAAACCTAAAAAGCTCTTGAACTGAGTGAGGTCTCTGAGAGGAGGTTACAATTGGACGGCCCCAACCGCACCGTGCCTTCGGGACTCCCCCCCCCACAGCTCCTGGGAGGCATACCGCAGCGCATCGCCACGTTGCACCACCGCCCCCAGAACCACCTTGCGATCTGCGCGCAGCTCCTGAATGCGTGTCAGCTCACGGCGCGCGGCAAGCGAGGCGAGGCTGGGGGCGGGGCCAGCAAGGATTTAGACTTGAAGCGCAGCTCTGGAAAAACACTAGCGCAAACGCAAAGCAAAGGCTTAGGCTCTGCTGCTTGTTTTGAATGGCTCTGCGAAATTCAGCACCGTCCTTGGTCCTGAGCTTGAAAATGAGACTCCCATCTGCTGGGAATTCCTACATGCGACTGGCTTATCTGCATGTTGTCCAACCGACTAGATAGCAATAAGTCAAACTCACAAGCACAGCCTCGAGGAATAACATCACGTGAAAAAGAGGCTCCGAGCTGCATCTCGTCACTTTCACGCGAAATAAGGGTGACCGGAACTGGAAAGGCTGTCGCGCCTTCAAGCGCACGGGATGTCCAAGTCCTTGCCACCAAAGAAAGAAAAGTCATCACGTCACGACACAGCACAGATCTGCTGCAACATTTACAAACAAACACACCTCAACACTCTAACAAAGAAATCCAAACCTAAAAAGCTCTTGAACTGAGTGAGGTCTCTGAGGGGAGGTTACAATTGGACGGCCCCAACCGCACCGTGCCTTCGGGACTCCCCCCCCCACAGCTCCTGGGAGGCATACCGCAGCGCATCGCCACGTTGCACCACCGCCCCCAGAACCACCTCGCGATCCGCGCGCAGCTCCTGAATGCGGGTCAGCTCACGGCGCGCGCGGGCAAGCGGGGCGGGGCCGGGGGCGTCCTTTTGCAGGTAGGTTTGGATGTCTTCCCTTTCTTGACTATGTCCAAGCACCAAGCAAGACAGCTGTGGAAAAGACCAAGCAAAAACAATTGCCCTGGAAAATTCAGCACCGTCCCTAGTCCTGAGGTCGGAAAATAAGATTCCCAGCGCGCTGCTGCATGAATGCTGCTGGGCAAGCCATCTCTGCTCAGGTGTGATTCCGATGCCCAACTGTAACAGCTGCATAGGTTATCAAGCAAATATGAACACAAAAGCCAGTACCAAAAGAACGCATCAGCTTGAAACTCTTCGATGCAACCGTTTGACCTGCATGTTGCCCAACCGACTAGCTAGCAACGTGATCAGCCTCAAGTAATAACATCACATCAAGAAGAGGAACCCGAGGTAGCTCTTTGAATCTTAGCTGCGGAGGAAGGCCTCAACTAACACCCCAACTCTGCTGCATGGCCGGCCTGATGTGCCCAGTTTTTCCTGGAGGCATGGATCTCGCAATCCAAACACTCGTCACTTCCCCGCGAAACCAGGGCGTGCACAAGGAGCCAAATCCGCTTCAGATTAAAGGCCAGAAAGGCTGGCGAGACTTGAGGCGTTTGGGGATGCTTGGGATGTCCAAGTCCTTGCCACCATAGAAAGAAAAATCATCACGTCAGGACAAAGCACAGATCTGCTGCAACATTTCGAGGCCCCTCGAAACTCAAACAACAAAATCCAGTCCCAAAAAAAAGAAGTTGAAGAGGCCGTGAGGTTTGTCAGGGTTGGCATCGCATGCCCCCCAAAACGCGCCGTGCCGTGACCTCGCGACTGCCGAAACCCCGACAGCTCCTGGGAGGCGTACTCCAACGCCCTGCCATTCTGCGCCACCGCAGCCAGCACCACCTCGCGATCTGCGCGTAGCTCCTCCATACGCGCCACACGAGTTGCGCGCGGGCAAGCAAAGTGGGGCCGGGGTCCTTTTACAGAAGCGCAGCTGTGGACAAAAACCGAGCACAAATGAATGGCGCTGGGAAGTTCAGCACCGTCCCTAGTCCTAGTCCTGAGGTCCGAAAATAAGATTCCCAGCGCGCTGCTGGGCGAATGCAGCTGGGCAAGCCAGCTCTGCTCGGGTGTGATTCCGATGCCCAACTGTAACGGCTGCATAGTTTCAGACGGTTATCAAACAAATCTCAATACCAACAGAACGCATCAGCGTGAAACTCTTTCGATGCAACCAGTGCGCATGAGCGCTGCCCAACCCACTATACCTAAACGTCATACCTAAACGTCAAACTCGCAAGCACCAACCTCAAGAGAGAAACCATCACGTCAAGAAGAGTCTCAGATCTCATCCATCCCCAACAAAACCGAGACGAACAGCGTAATGAAGCTGAACTACGGAAGGTCCCAACTCCGCTGCATGGCTGGCCAGATGTGCCCAGTTCTACCCCAATGTCAGTGGAGGCATCGATCTCGCAACACTCATCATTTCCGCGCGAAACAAGGGTGTCCGAAAGGTCTAGCAGAATCTGCCAAATTAAAGCCTGGAAAGGCTGGCGCGATGTCAAAGTCCTTGCCATCAAAGAACGAGAAAACATCACGTGACAAAGCTCAGATCAGCTCAAACATGGCGAGCGAAAACACCCCTCAAAACTCCAACCCCAGATTTCCGATCCCCAAAAGGCTCTTAAGAAAGCCGGGAGTAAGGTCTTTGAGAAATCGGATGGCCCCCAGCTCCTGGGAGGCGTGCTCCAGCGCCCAGCCGTTCTGCGCCGCCGCTGCCAGCACCACCCCGCGATCTGCGAAGAGCTCCTCAGCGCAGCTCCGAAACTTAAGGAAGGGGCGAGGGCGAGTCGAGCGCTCGCCCGGGCAAAAACACACGAAACGCAAAGAAAAGGCCCTAAAGTCTCCGGCTTCTGCGGTTTGGGGTTTGAAGATGGAGTTAGACCACCTCATGGATTTTGAGGTATGGAGAGGGTGGAAAGCCGGGCGCTCAAACCATCTCTGCCTCTCGGCGTGATTCAGAGGCCCCATTGAAATTGCTTCATGGTTGGAGGTTATCAGACAAATCTCAACACAAAAGCCGGTATCAACAGAACGCATTGGCTTGGTATTCTTGGATACAACCGGCTTGCGTGGATGTTGCCCAACCGATTAGCCAGCTAAGTGTCAAAGTCACACACACCAGCCGACTTCACAGCAGCAAGAGTTCTCCATCCCAACAACTTCGAAACACATTCCAAGAAGAACAACCGGATGAAGCTCTTTGGATCTGAGCTGCGGACGGTCCCAACTAAGCCCAGGCTGTGCCGCCACTTTTACCCCAATCTCAGTGGGGCCTCGATCTCGCAATCCCAACACTCACGGAGCCAAGAGGCGAAACCGGGCCCGCAACCACGCCGTGCCGGGACCTCGGGACCGCCCCCCCCCCCCCCCCCCGCAGCTCCTCAGAGGCGTGCTCCAGCGCTGAGCCGTTCTGCCCCACTGCGGCCAGCACCACCTCGCGATCTGCACGCAGCTCCTCACGCTGGGGGGACCCAGACAGCAAGATTTCAAGGAAAACCTGAGCACAAACACAAAGAAAAGGCCCCGGTCGTTTGAATGGCTCCGGAAATTCCAGCAACATCAAAGAGCCTTGCCATTTTTGAACCTCGTTTGCGACCTTGGTGCTGAATTCTCCCAGAGTGCTGCTGGGCAAGCCATCTGCCCTTGCTTCATGGTTTGAGAGGGTTATCAATCAAATCTTCACATAACCTGATGCCACTTCGCTACAAACCGATTTACCTGCGTGCACAACCGACTAGCTTGCAACGTCTCAATTTCACACCCAGCAGCCTCAAGCAATAACATCACGTAAAGATCTGAGCTGCGGAGGAAGGTGCCCATTCGCTGCGAGCCAGGTTTTCCCCAAAAGTTGAAACTGGAGGGCCCCCAACCACGCCGTGCCGGGACCTCGCTCGCCCCCCCCCCCCCCCCGTGCGCAGCTCCTGGGAGGCGAACTGCAATGCCGAGCCGTTCTGCGCCACTGCGGCCAGCACTACCTCGCTGTCTGCACGCAGCTCCTCACAACCACTCCGAGCTGCAGGGGGCCCCGAACCCCCCCTGAGGCTCGGGGCGAGCCAGCAAGGATTCAGCTTGCTTTGAATGGCCCGCAAAATTCGAGCATGAACATTGGTCCTGAGTTCTGCAAATGAGCCAGCGCTGGGCAAGCCATCTCCGCTCAGGTGTGAGTCCGATGCCCGACTGCAACTTCGTCTTGGTTTAAGAAGAGGTTACTAGACACATCTCAACATGAAGGGCCATACGCACTGAACGCATCAGCTGGGTTTTCTTCGATGCAATCGGTATACCTTCTTGTTGCCCAACCAACTAGCCAGCAGCACAGCAAACCCGGAATCCCCAACACAAACGCTATGAGACACATACAAAGAAGCACCACACGATGAAGCTCATTGGGGAACAGAAAAGCTGGCGCCATGTCCAAGTCCTTGCCATCAAAGAAAATCATCCGCGCGAGGACAAAGCTCAGATCAGCTCAAACATTGCGAGCAAAACAGAAATCCAATCCCAACAGAACTCTTGGGGCCGGGAGTAAGGATTTCCCCAAGAGTTGAAATCGGATGGCCTCCAACCGCACCATGCCTACCTCTGACTCGATGCTCCCCGCAGCTCCTCGGAGGCGAACTGCAATGCCGAGCCGTTCTGCGCCACTGCGGCCAGCACTACCTCGCTGTCTGCACGCAGCTCCTCACAACCACTCCGAGCTGCAGGGGGCCCCGAACCCCCCCTGAGGCTCGGGGCGAGCCAGCAAGGATTCAGCTTGCTTTGAATGGCCCGCAAAATTCGAGCATGAACATTGGTCCTGAGTTCTGCAAATGAGCCAGCGCTGGGCAAGCCATCTCCGCTCAGGTGTGAGTCCGATGCCCGACTGCAACTTCGTCTTGGTTTAAGAAGAGGTTACTAGACACATCTCAACATGAAGGGCCATACGCACTGAACGCATCAGCTGGGTTTTCTTCGATGCAATCGGTATACCTTCTTGTTGCCCAACCAACTAGCCAGCAGCACAGCAAACCCGGAATCCCCAACACAAACGCTATGAGACACATACAAAGAAGCACCACACGATGAAGCTCATTGGGGAACAGAAAAGCTGGCGCCATGTCCAAGTCCTTGCCATCAAAGAAAATCATCACGCGAGGACAAAGCTCAGATCAGCTCAAACATTGCGAGCAAAACAGAAATCCAATCCCAACAGAACTCTTGGGGCCGGGAGTAAGGATTTCCCCAAGAGTTGAAATCGGATGGCCTCCAACCGCACCATGCCTACCTCTGACTCGATGCTCCCCGCAGCTCCTCGGAGGCGAACTGCAATGCCGAGCCGTTCTGCGCCACTGCGGCCAGCACTACCTCGCTGTCTGCACGCAGCTCCTCACGACCCGAGCTGCAAGGGCCCCGAACCCCCCTGAGGCTCGGGGCGAGCCAGCAAGGATTCAGCTTGTTTTGAATGGCCCACAAAATTCGAGCATGAACATTGGTCCTGAGTTCTGCAAATGAGCCAGCGCTGGGCAAGCCATCTCCGCTCAGGTGTGAGTCCGATGCCCGACTGCAACTTCGTCTTGGTTTAAGAAGAGGTTACTAGACACATCTCAACATGAAGGGCCATACGCACTGAACGCATCAGCTGGGTTTTCTTCGATGCAATTGGTGTACCTGCGTGTCAGGCAACGCAGCAAACTCACACTCACATCAAATCGGGAAAAGGCTCAGATCTGATCCATCCCCAACAAAAAAAAGCTCTTCGGGGCACATAATTACAAAGAAGCCACCCGCTGAAGCTCATTGAGAACTAGTGCAAATGCGCCCACGCTTACCCCTATGTCAGCGGAGGCTTCGATCTCGCAATCCCAACACTCATCATTTCCGAGAATAACAAGGATGACCGACAGGTCTAGCCAAATCTGCGAGATGGCCTGCACAGGCTGGTGCGACCTCCAAGCCTTTGCCACAAAAAGAGAGAAAGAACGTCACGTGAGGAAAAATCACACGGAAACCCAATCCCAACAGAACTCTATGAGAGGCCGTGAAGGTTTGCTTCTTGGAATCAATTGGCCCTTCTGCGCTCCTCCAAGGCAAGCTCCAGCACCAACCCGCGCTGCGCCACCGCTTTTAGCAGAAACCCGCGGTCTGAGAGCTTGACCTGCGAGCTGATGGGGTTGAATCGGAGCTTTAGCTGCGAGGCATTCGTGATGGTGTTGTCCCCTGTGTCCCAGATAAACGTGTCTCTCTCTTCGCGGAGAGCTGAATGATGAGCTGGCCCTGATAGCGCTGGCTTCGAGGAGTCCCCCGTAGCAGCTACACGGGCTGCGGCAGACGGCAGAGAGGAATGAGGGGACCGCAGGGGTGCAAGCGACTCCAGGCTGTTGAGGTCATTGCCATCGCTGTCCGCAACTTCTCCAAGCGTAAGCGGAACAGGCATGTCAGCACCTGCCGCAAGCTGAGCATCCTCCACGACAACCGTCACCTCAACCGCCAGCTGTCCGCAAGGAAGCGGTTCCTCTGGCTGCTTTGGCTGCTTTTTCTCCGGCTCCAACATGTCTTGCCTCGCACCTTTCAATGCGTCCATCACTTGAGCCGCAGAGCCTTTGTCCATTTCCCGGAGTGCCGCGGCCTCAAACTTTCTCATGTCCTGATATCGCAAAAGCCGAAGGAACGCAAGCCAACCTTCCGGCAGAAACCTATTCACCACGATGGCCATGAGCTGAGCTCTGCTGATGCCTTGGTACAGGCCCGCGCGCACCTTGGCGTCCCCAGCGCTGCCTGTAATCGCTTCATCCAGTCCGATGCATATAACAATCATGCGCTCCAAGCCTTTCGCATTGTGAACTGTATCCAAAACAATTTCTTCCCTTGCTAACAAAGCAGCTTCCAGCTGTTCCGGTAGATGTAGGTGACCCATGCTGTCCTCAAAGCTTACGAGGCAAAGGTTTCGGCTGGCAAATCTCTCCTGTAGAACTTCTTGGAGAACTGGTCGAAATCCTTCAAGAAAGCCAGCATCTGGCAGAAGAAGGGCTAGGCGCCCCTGTAGCCAAAGCTCCGAATAGCTCTGAATGACGTATGTGATGGCATCGCTGGTGTAATTGGCATACTGGGTGTACAAACCCGTCTCGTCTTTCGCTTCAAAGATGTAGGTTTTCAAGGCTGGACCATCTGTGCCCAGACTATTCACCTCTTGCTGCCCCGCGTACCTGGGCATGTGAATTCACTGAATGAGAAAGCCCGCCATGAAGCCACATTGGTTTTAGGAAAGTATGTTCAGTTTTTCAGAACCAGCCGCGACATTGTTGGGGAGTCTTTAGAGCTGGAACTTGAACCAACTGCACGGGAAGTTGAATCAGCATCAAGAATTTATCTTAAGCACCAAGCCGAACAAAAGGAATTGCACCGGCTTCGGTGAACAGAATCAGAGCGATTGCCACTTTCGCACGGCAACGATCAAGTCAACGCAACCCTGGCCGAGTGACAGCAAACACTGCAAACTTATAGGGGATAGGTAGCGGCCAACATGTCAAAAACAGTGGTAACAGTCACTGGTGGCTATAGCAAAAATCGACAGAAGTCGTGTTTGTGCAAAAGCATACTACTTGATGCTGATGTTCGTCCCTTGATTCCTCTAGCTTGCCAAAAACACAAGAATGTGTCAATATGCATTCATCAACTTCAAGCAAGAGAATGTCCCGCCGCGTAATTCCCCTCAACTTCTGTCCAGAACAGGTAGAAAAAGTTGGGTGTCAATAGACTCAATGGCCTGAATCAGAGCTTCCTGAATCAGGCCATGTTAGCTCCTGAATCGTACTTACTGAATCGTGCCAAGGTAGCTCCTGCATCTTGGTTGCAGAGTCCCTGAATCGTTTTCTTTGTCAAGATATTTGTAGCGAACCCAAGCAAATGACCGTAAACTAACGAAGCGCCGAGACACTCAAACGCGGCAGCACCAGCAACAATCCTCTTTGTGCTTCGAACTACTTCTGTGAGCTTGACTCTGTGCAGCTCAGGAAACTCATGCTCTAAACTACCTGATTGAGACTGGTCTGATAGAAGCAAACACTGCGTGGCCTCGTTGAAAGCCTTCTCCGCAAGTCTTCTCGCATGGCCTGGGCGGAATATGTCATGAGACTCATCAAAAATTGCCAGCACCATCCCGCTGGGCAGAGTGTCCTTGCCCACTTTCAACGTGATTCGGCTCGCGCGATCAATGCCCGCAGTTTGCAGACGGTCATAGGGAAAGTGGATGACCTTCACCTTGCCGAGCATGGCCTCCACCTTGCGTGCATCTTTGCTGCCATGCCCTACTCTCGTTGCCAGCCACGTCAAGAACTGCAGGCAAAGGCACTTTGACGGCGCCACATACACCACATACCCTGATGAGCTGGTGAGTGTGTTCAGAACATAATGCAGCGCCACAAAGGTTTTACCCGCCCCTGCCGGGGCAGACAGGTGCAACCGCTCGTAACCGTGGTCTTCCATCTCGCGAAGCTTCTCCCTCTGATGCGCGGTGAGTCTTGAAAAGCTCTGCAGGCTCTTCTCATACATCATGAAAAACTCGGTCTTCAGGACGCGCAGTTGCCTGAGACGATAATTGTCCACTTTGCGCAATTCCGTGTTGATGCTCGCCTCCAAATTCTCGCTGAGCACCATATCCCGCAAAGTCTGCAGTGCTTGGATATCTTTGACGAGCAATTCAATTGTGCATGCGGGCAAGCCATTTCTAAGCCTTTGTTCTGCAAGGTCAGTCACCACTTCTACACCCCTTGGCAGGGTGCTTTTCAACATCGTCCATACACGGTCACTGCCAACGTCGTTGAGGAAACTTGAAATGGAATCCGCAACATGCCGCACGCGGGTAGACTCAAACACCTCATCCTTCTGACTCTCCAAACACCTCACTTTCCACAGGAACGCATCACGCTTATCCCTGCGATGCCGAACCTGGATCAAGGACCCCCTTCGCCACTTGTTTGTACTCGAGTCAAACGCATCCACTATGGTGCCTTGCTTAAACTCTGCACGCAGGTATGTGAAAACATCTATCTCATCGTAGTCCCAGTCTGACTTGTCCTCCTTGCTCTTCTTCCTCATCTCGTCCAAGGTTGCGATTTCACCTTTCTGTGAGGTGCCGCACCCGACCCCGTCCCACAAATCCGCTGTGTTCAAGTGCTCCATCTCCACCTTGCCTTGCCCCACCTGATCTGGAAAGTACACCACCTTCAGGCGCTGCTTCTTTTCAACTGCCTTGCGCACGTTGTCGAGCCACGCCTGGTACCATGCACATCCCCAGGCACAGGTTTTCTTGCGCCTTGGCAAACCAAAAAAACGCGGTTGGTGTGAAAACAAAGGTCAATTCTCGCGCAATCCAAGCTGCTTGCAGATCGACTCTGCCTCCGCCGTTCTTCTCTCCTTCTCTTCATCGCTGAAATTCGGGCAAAGAATTACTGCGTTCATGGCCTTTGCCTTCTTCTGCACATCTTCGGTTTCCTTGTCGCAATTTAATATGTACCCAAAGTTCTTGAAGTTCCTCTTGTTGCCATCCCTCGGATTCAGCGCATCAAACCCATTGTTTTCACTCTCCATGCTCAAGCCTAGTTTCAATAGTAATGATGTCAGTGTGATGGTACTGCTGACTTTCTGCACCAATTGTCATAAATTCCAGTGCAACCAAGAATCTCCACACCATATATTTTGTGGCAGTGACACCTCTCTGGGTGCTCTGGATCTGGCAAATGTTGCCCCAGTCCTTCTTCGGGAGTTTGCAAGAAAACGCACGCCACACTTTGGTTGCGATTTAACTCTCTGATGAGCACGTCCCACCCAGAGGTAAACTTGCCTGGGAATGAAACAAAGCATTCCTTGGCATCCTCCTTGATATTGCCGTGATAACTGCGGTCATAGATGGCAGTCACTGCAGCTGACGGCTCCCGTAATGTGAAGCATAGGCTAATGGAGACCTCGGTCCTGCCGTCGTGGGCCTCAGCTTTCGCATTGTCGACTCAAGCAGCACAAAACTCAGAGTACAGCACTGCAGGCAGTCTGAATGCTGAAATTTGCAGCAAATCTGTAGCAACATTCGCTGAAGCAGACTCCTTGCAAAACTCGTGGCCCGCCCTATTTCCCCGCTTTCCCTTGTTGCAATTCAGCTGCTCACAGCCTTCTGCTTGACCCCAGGCCAGTTCAATGCTAGCCAAGCCACTTGTAGATCTGCCTCAGTCTCAGCCCGCTAGGACGCCAAGAACCACACCAAATCACAAAGCGGAGTCCATGTCATGTGCGTATACAGAGAGAGAGAGAGAGAGAGAGAGAATAAACAAAAAAAAGGAGGAAGAAAAAAAAAGAGCCAGAGTGTGGTTGTGTAAGTGTTAGTCCGCGCGTGCGAGTGCGCGTGCGAGTGCGCGTGCGAGTGCGTGCGTGTGCATAAGCGTCCGCGCTTGTGCGCTTGTGCGCTTGTGCGCTTGTGCGCTTGTGCGCTTGTGCGCTTGTGCGCTTGTGCGCTGCCACATATACGCGGACACTTGCGCGCGTGCGTCTCTGTGTGCTCTGTGTGTGTGTGTGTCTGTGTGTGTGTCTGTCTCTCTCTCTCTCTCGCTGTCTTTCTCGCTCTCTGTTTCTCTGTCTCTCCCTTTGTGTCTCTGTCTGCGTCTCTGTCTGTTTCTGTGTCTGTGTCTGTGTCTGTGTGGGTTTCGGTGTCGGTCTCAGTCGGTCGTCAGGTAGTTGTCCTGCGTGCGCCAAGCTCCAGAGCCACCCTGGAACCACTCTTTCGTTTCATGGGGGCACAGGCCCGTGGGCTTATGGTGGTGACCTGTGCCAGCGAAGCTTGCCGCTTTTCCAATCAATCTGTTGGCACAACCCCAGCCGACCTCCGCTTTCTCTTCCTCTGTTAGTTAAGCCCTATTCTCAGGATATGTCCTTGTCGCTCTCTCAATACCAGTTCCCTTAAATCTTCACTATCCGTGCACTTCACTTCACTCCAAAACAAAATGATCCAAAGCATTCGAGAACACGTACTTAATCAAACGGCACGACTTCCAAAGTATACAAAGGGACATGCAAATGCAACTGAACCAAACCCACCAACCGCAGTTTCACGGAGCTTCTGACGATGTCACCGCACGCTTCACCCCTATGACAAAGACAGAGCTCAGGGGAACGTGAGAGCCTGCGGCTCGCGCTTGGGCTGTCCTCTTCATGCGCTGGAGATATCCGTATGCTGATGGCAAGCCAAGAAAATGGCAAGCGCACCAAATCTTCAAATCTTAGGATCTGACTGTCTCCACGGATCTTCGCACCGAAGCACCACAGCCCATGCCATGTGAACTTGTGAAACTGAGTTTGTTATTGGTATTGGCCCTTCTCTCCGGGTTCAACCAATGCATTTGGGCTAGCACACTTACCTACTCATTCGGTTTTAACATGGAAATCAAGCGATTTCAACTGCCGCCTTTGTTCACTTTAGCATTAGCGACCTGGGCCCATTGAAATTGAAGATGTTAGACTTGTTTGCCGCAAGTAAACTTGGTTCATTGATGTCAAGAGTCCGAACGCCGATTCTTTGAGCCGCTTGTCAGGTCGGACATTTCTCACATTCCAGGCAGTCTGGGCCGGTGGATCCTTCCGTTGGGCGTGATATGCCATGGATATGGTTGTAGAAAGAAGCACCCTTCCCAAAAGCCATGAACCGTGCATGGACAAAATCCGATTCTCACCAGTTGCAATGGATGAAACATGAGAAACCGCTGGTGAATTGTGGGATAAACGTGGATAAAACACTTACTAAGTGGTGCAGGATTGTCTCCATCCACAGTATGTTGCACTGTGCATGCCAAGCTATCTGGCTTCATGTTGGAACAGTATTTTAGCGTTCGAACCAATGAGAGAACAAACATGCACTTGGATGCTTCTAAAGAACCCTGGTTAACGCAAATGATCCATTTTGGGATGGTGTTTCAGGACTACAGGAAAACCACCCAATGTTCTTCCAATTGTGAGACAAACCCAAGAGGAATGGCATTTGAGTAGTTCAGCTGCGATGCCAAGACTTTATACATTCAGGTGCCTCAAGGCTGAGTTGCCGCAAGCATAGTTGTGGTTGCTTACAGCATCTTAGGCCCTTCCCAGGTCAACATCGTTACAACGAAAGCGTTAAAGGCCCTTTTGACGCCATTTTGACGACTGACGATCGGGCCTCGAAGGGCCAGGTCCCACAGTTTGCCTTCCTCAAAACCGAGTCCCAGGCACGTGCCTCGCCCGAAGCTCGCTCCATCTGGCCATCAACGCATCCAAGCAACGAGCAACGAGCAACTGGTGACCCGCTCTGCCACCGCTTTGGTGGAGCTAGGGCCACATGCGCACGGCTCACAGCTCAATCGATCTTCTCGCATCGTTGCCGATCTCTTTCGGCTTCCAGCTTCCCGACCCTCTTGGTTCCCCAGCTTCCCACCACCTTACAGTTTCAGCTTTCTGGCCCTCCAACCACCCCCCTCGCCCAAACCTGGCCCGCCCCGGCCCTGGCCTGCAGCCTACAAGGCGCGCGCGCGCACGCGCGGGCGCACACGCACGCACGCACGAACGCACGCAATTTAAGATCGGCGACGGCCGAGCATCGCCAGCATTCCCAGCCAGCGTTGTCTGCATGCCCAGTGTCACCAGCATCTTATGGCCCACGTGCCGAAGCAGCGCGTGCCCAAGGACACTGCCAACAAAAGCAACCAAGCAAAACAGTTAGAATCCTGTTCGCTTCTTCAAGCAACAGGGGAAACTGTTTCACAAACTCCACCACTGCCACGGCGCCGGGCGGTATCTCGGGGCGCTGTGCCACTCCTGCAACATCGCGGTCCAGACGCCCAAGACCATCCCCGTGGTCTTTCACAACGGGGGCGGCTACAACTTCCACTTCCTGCTGCGCTACATCGCCACGATGGGTTCTCCCGATGGCCACGGCTCGGACAACGAAACTGTGTCGAAACGTTCTTTCATGCTCAATTGTAGCGCCAACTGCTCATTGTGAAACTCAGCCGGGTTTGATCAAACAAAATCGTGTATCCGCAGACCACATCACACTCCTATATACAGAGGCATGAGGTATTACACCCCGTACCGCAACGCAGTTAGCGAAGATCCCAGCCGTACTTGCGCATCACGCAGCTGTCATCCACCGAAATGGGTTGGCCGAAGAACCTCACATTGCGTAGGGCAGAGAGCCATCTGTATACCACCAGCAAAAGAAATTGGCGAGCAATATATATGCAAAAGATAGCCATCCCAGGTGCCATAAATATTATAAGGAAATGAAAGCATCCATGAGATAATAGTGTCCATCCATGGATATCCGGGAAGCCATAGGCGTCGAAACATGTATACACATAGGTATGTACCTCGGACATGCGAAATTGTAGTCACATCGAAATCCGTCCCATCGTAGTCAAATCAATGTGTTGCTGGCAGAGGGTGGGGTCCAGCCCGCCGTAAATGCAACGATGATTCACTTCAGCATCATGTGGGTCGATCCACAATTGACAGCCTGTTGATGCGACGACGGAATTCTTCGTTGCGCTGAGCGTCCCGGGCTCGGACGTACTTCTTGTAGCGCTCGTCCGCGAGCCAACGCCCCTTCTGGACGCGCCAGTGAAGCAGTGGCGCGTCGCACTTGCCCGGGTCGGTGGCAGCGATGATGGCACTCACATCCACTTCATACCCATGTCTGCAGAGTGTTCGGGCAAGGACATTCAGATCAATCGAGGAACGCAATCAATTTGTTCGCTTCTCAGCAGCCCAAATGCAAGGGACTATATCTCTTCTACAAGCTGTGGAATGCGGCGACTATCCTCGATGTTACCAAGGAAGAGATGAGATTGCTGGTCAGCGATCGCAAGCACGGGGACATCGTGTACCGGTGTTTCTCACTGGCGTTCAGTTGCAAACACATTGAACCTTGGAGATTGAGAAATTTTCTGCTCGGTAGAAGGTAAGACAACACCAGCCCGATCAAACTCAGTGATGTTAGTGATGTTAGGGTAGCGCCCCAAGTCATTGTGGTATGGGCCTGCGGCAAAACCCCTGATTGCGGCGTCAACTGCTCGTTTGTCGCCAGCCTCGAAAAACCCACAATCTTGATATCTGCAGCGCAACAAATCCCGCCATATATTGAGCTTCTCTTGGCTCATCCATGCAGATCGCTGTCTGCTGTGAATTGATGATGTCGCGGGCAGAGTCATGTCATTGTCACTGTAATCCTCTCCGATGTCTTCTTCCTCGGATCGTCAGAGTTGACGTTAACGTAGAATCTTCCAGCGGAAATCAGTCGGGTGGAGATTGTCGGCGCCAGCCTCCGTCTCCGGCGACCCTCGATGAGCCTAGTGACGTTTCGGAGAAACATCAAGGCCGATTCTTGGGACGAACCAACGAAACCAGGACAAATTTCGTTCTCAACGCATTTTGAGTACGCCGCTTGACGGTCTCGATGTTCAAGCATCTCCCATCACTGCGTTTCCCGATCCAAATGGATCGGATTTCGTAGAACGGGATGACGTCGAATACCATAAACGTCCCATTGAGTGCGACCCCAGCTCCGTATCTCGCGAGAGTTGCGCGATTGGACCCCCGTTCCGCACATTGCGGAGCGAGGTCTTCGTCACTGAACCCAAAGTCACTGTGGCCAGTAGCAGCTCGGAAACACCAGGGCCCGTACCATCCAGCGCATCTGCTGAATATCTCGTTGACATCATCCTGGGCGCAACCCGTGTTGAGCAATTCCTGCCTGGCAGTTCTCGCTTCGTCGGATTCATGACGCTCGGAAAATTTCACTGCTAGAATCTGAAATCTTGACTTCCTGTATCCAGCATCCTGCCAGTTCATCACCTTCACGACGCCCATGTAGCGATCGCGTTTCGAAGTGTTCGGTGGGAACAGGTTCACGTCATAGTCCGTGATGATCGCGTCTATGTCGACCCAGCCACCTTCATCACACTTGAAAGAGCTTCCTCGGCGCGCAGATCTTGTGGCGAAGAATCCTGCAAAGGTTGTGAGACAGCTGGCTAGCTTGGTCTTGCGTGTTGAATACAGAACAGTCATCTCCAACTCTGGAGATGGCGGACACGGCCAAAGGGGGTGAGCTGCAATGTGGCGGCGTAGACCTTACCTTCAATGTGTGTGATCACAGAACATTCAAAGCGACGTTGGAGCGGGGATGCGACACCATTCCTTGCTACATCCCAAAGGCTGGTGACACGTGCAGCGTTGACACACCATGGGGCACGCGTCGATGACTGATCCCAGGTTTTTCCCCACAATTCCACTTTGGAGCAGATCAATACACAAGAATTGGGCAAAAGTTTCTGCATAAACCCTTTTGATGACGTTCCATTCGGCACCAAGTATGGTGTAGCTGCACATCTCTATTGTTTCTTTCCCCTTTTGCCCTCGTCTTGTGTTCCTTGTGTGTCCATGACGAGGGTTCTCCTGCATCCCCCATTTCTTCATCCGAGAACACATGATCGCTGCTGAGTAGCGCACGAATTCTCTTCATCGCCTCGTCGTTTCCAGCAGCGTCTTCAATCTTCTTGCAGTCGCCGTCGTGAGCCGCATTTGAAATCCCCTTATCCTCCATGCACTTCGCCATCGAGTCCAGGAACTTTAATAACGCGCTGCTTCTTTTCCTCCTTTGGAAGAGATCATCGTCAGTTTTGGTGAGGAAATGGATCCTTTTCCGTAGCCATTTTGGCTCAGGGCCGTATCAAGTTAAGGTTGGGTGCACTCAAGAAGTTAGTAGGTGTTGGGCGGTAGGCCCACTGACACCGAACACGGGGTTCAAAGAGTAACAGGTACGGCTAATTAGGGATTTTTGGAGTGCATCATCTTGCTTGTTGCCCTCGAGCGGAGTGAGTCCCTGCCCCTGGACCAGCCGGACCGCAAGGCCTTCCTCAAGGCCACGCGTAGCTGGCCCGAATGTACCAAGGCTACGGGCCCCGAGGCCGGCCGGCAAGCAACGGCCAGGGCCCGCCCTGCGCAGCACGGCCGACGGCGCGCAGGCAGCAGCGGGCCTCATAGGCGCAGAAGCAGCAGGGCTCGCAGCCGTGCAGGCCTTCCGCTTGCAGCTCCTCCAGGACGCAGACGCCTGGACGTGCTGCCCCGCGCGGGCGCGCAGCCGCAGCCGCCCCCGCAGATCATAGGTCGACTCGACGACGTCGAGCGCCTCCTGGACGCGGCAGGGCAGCGTGCGCAGGAGGTGGAGCGTGGCACAGCGGAGCAATTCATGCACCAGCGGAGACAGTAGCCGTGGCTGCGGAGGAGGGTGAGGTTGCCGTTGCCGCCGAGGGCGTGGGTGGAGCTGGGG